CAAAAACCAGAATTGTGTCAGATGTTATTATTCTATATGCTGTTTGTTCTTCCTTAAAAACTATGTCTTAGGGGGGCACCTGGGTGGCTCAGTGGGTTAAAGCCTCTGCCTTCGGCTCAGGTCAAGATCCCAGGGTCCCGGGATCAAGCCCCTCATCGGGCTCTCTGCTCAGCAGGGAGCCTGCTTCCTCCTCTGTCTCTGCCTGCCTCTCTGCCTACTTGTGATCTCTCTCTCTCTGTCAAATAAATAAATAAATAAATAAATAAATAAATAAATTAAAAAAAAACAAAAAACTATGTCTTAGGGATGCCTGGGTGGCTCAGTTGGTTAAGCATCTGCCTTCGGGTCAGGTCACGATCCCAGGGTCCTGGGACTGAGTCCTGCATTGGGCTCCTTGCTCAGCGGGGAGCCCGCTTGTCCCTCTGCTTCTGACTGCCACTTGTGCTCTCTCTCTCTCTCTGACAAATAAATAAATAAAATCTTAAAAAAAATAAAAATAAACACTGCATCTTAGAGATCCTTCCATGTGGACACGCAGACCTGCTCATTTGAACTGAGTCCACTTTGTGAACAGACCACAATATATTTAGCAACCTTCACTGATGGGCATTTTCGTGGTTTTGTTCTTCAGCTTTACAAAAAAATGCCACCATGAATTTTCTTATACATCTATTTTTGCTCACTGGGATATGTATTTCTGTCAGATAAAGTCTAAGAAAGAGACCTTCTGGGTCAAAGGATATGCACATTTGAAATTCTAATATATATTGTCATTATATGTAATATAAATTAATAATCCAATGAACATTATGTTCATTTTTTTTAAAGATTTTATTTATTTGACAGAAAGAGACATAGTGAGAAGAGGGAACACAAGCAGGGGGAGTGGGAGTGGGAGAAGCAGGCGGTCAATAATGGTATTTGGTTTTTTCCCCCTTCCCATGGTGGATTTAATATTGAGAATAGTAAAAAATCACTGGAAGGAGCGCCTGGGTGGCTCGGTTGTTAAGTGTCTGCCTTCAGCTCATGATCCCAGGGTCCTGGAATGGAGCCCCTCATCAGGCTCCCTGCTCAGCGGCAAGCCTGCTTCTCCCTCTCCTACTCCCCGTTTGTGTTCCCTCTCTCGCTGTATCTCTGTCAAATAATAAAGAAAATCTTAAAAAAAAAAAATCACTTGAAGCCATTTCTCAACAAGGTAGGAGATTCAAGCTGGAGCACAACATTTGTGGCATACAACAACATGTGGGCTACCGGAGTGAGACTGGATTTCTTGTGAGGCTTAGACATTATTCTGGAGGTAATTCTAAGAGAGGGATCATACATTCAGGCTTCTCCCAGGGTCTAATCTGAAGGGGGCAGCACTTGCCCAGAAAAAGTTTTCTTGTTTCAGTGTTGTTTCATTTCCGGAACTAACCCATCCCTCCCCGTTCTCCCGGTTCGGGTTGGGGTGTCAGTCCCGGGCCAGCCGCTCTAGGCCAGTGGCTCGAAGCTGCGGGGGCCTCGCTGTTTCCAGCACGGCCACGAGGGCCATCAGGGAATGCTGGAGGTATCTAAAGTGTGGCCTTCAAAAGAGCAGGCCTCTTCTCCTCCCAGGGGTGGGGACTCAGGACAGAAAGGGCTGAGAACCGCTGCTCCAGGTGGAGAGCCTGTCTCCGCGGGCTGGCTGTCGGGCACCTCACACAGCCCCTCGCCTACGCGCACCGAGGGGGAAACATGCTCAGCAGATGGTGTATAACCTGCTGTGGTTCCTAAGGGACCCAGAGCAGTTTCATCCCCTCGGTCAGGGGCAGCAGAGGGCGGCAGAGGGATCCACCCCCTCCGTCTTGAAGCAATACTAGTGGAGACGGTCAGCCTGAATTGCTCTCCGCACTGACCCGCAACGCCCTCCTCTGAAAAAGCGACTCTCGGTCACACGGAAACAGAGCCTCCTTGTTACCTTCACGGGCTGATCCTGGGCTGAGTCTGTCTCACTGCCTTTCTCTTTCTTCTTCTTCTGTTTCTTTTTCTTCTTTTTGGCTCCAGTGTCATTGGCTGGACTCAAACCACTGTAAGACAAAGTAAATACTGATGCAGGGTTTTTAAAAAATCATCTGTTTTGAGCTACACCGACAAAGAGCTTTCTGTGGAGCCAGACCCTCCTTAATCAGGCCTGCTGGCTTCAGGAGCTGACTAGAGAATCCAGTCCCGGAGGGGCATTCGGAGGACACCAGGAGCTCGCCGCACGCCCGCCAGCTCTGGGGGGTGGGAATAGGGTAAGGGGGAGGGCTGTGCGAGAAATGTCCTATTTGTCTGGATGGACCTTTTCAATTCTGGTTTTTATTTTATGTTTCTTTTCTTCAGGTTGCTAGACTGCCGGCCCCAAAGGCAAAGGGTAATTGTTAACGGTGGCAATTCATACCACCAACACAGCCTGGGAGCCCTGGATCTAAAACGATGACAGCCCAAAGCAGTCTTTTTGGAAACCCTTCCTCACCCCCGCTCCCACCCACCCGGTGCATCAGGCTGAGTGAGATTTCTCCAGCTGGATCTAACGCTCAAGGCAGCACTGCAAAGGGAGGAAAGGAGGAGGAAAAAGGCAGTTCCACGTTGCTGAGGTCTGTCTCCAAGCTAGCGAAACAGCCGTGAGCACTGCCTGAATCAGGCCCGCAGGACCTGGGGCGACTGTCAGCTGGCGCAGACTGGGGGATCACCATGGGCAAAGCCCGGCACCTGGGATCTGGGGAAAAGAACAGTGAGGCACCCAGCCACCCCTGCCACAAAGCGACTACATGAAACCTGCCTGTCTGTGAGCCAGGAAAGGGGACAGGCCCTCTGCGTGACACGGCTCACGAATGCAGCAGACAATAGTCTCGTAGCCACATTTAAACATCTCCTACAGCATTTCATTATTGTTTTCTGAGGCCTCTCATCTTTACGGAGACACAAATCACATTATACTGTGTTTCTTATCCATTTTCCATTCATTTGCTCCCTAATGTCTTCTCCCAATGCTTACTGATTTCTGGGTTTCCTTCCTTTTATTTTACCTTTGTATTGGGTTTTCTTTATTTTACTGATGAGCTTTAAGGTTCACCTTGCAGCTCAGCTTTCTTTTTTTTTTTTTTTTTAATATTTTATTTATTTATTTTGACAGACAGAGATCACAAGTAGGCAGAGAGGCAGGCAGAGAGAGAGAGGAGGAAGCAGGCTCCCTGTGGAGCAGAGAGCCCTATGCGGGGCTCGATCCCAGAACCCTGGGATCATGACCTGAGCCGAAGGCAGAGGCTTTAACCCACTGAGCCACCCAGGCGCCCCGCAGCTCAGCTTTCTTAACTATGGTTGGACAGCTGACCCTTGAACAACACAGGGGTTAGTTAGGGTCACCAACCCCCGACAGTTGAAAATCTGCACACAACTTTGACTCTCCCCAAATTAGCTATTAATACCCTACTGTTGATGAGGCCTTACCAATAACATAAGCCAATAAACACAGATTTTCTAGTTGTGTATATTATACACTGTATTCTTCAAATAAGGTAAGCTAGAGACAAGAAAATATTATCAAGGAAAGCCGAAGGAAAATACATTTTATAGTACTGTACTGTTCAAAGTTCATATGTAGGGGCGCCTGGGTGGCTCAGTGGGTTAAGCCTCTGCTTTTGGCTCAGCACATGATTCTCAGGGTCCTGGGATCGAGCCCCACATCGGGCTCTCTGATCAGCGGGGAGCCTGCTTCCCACTCTCTCTCTGCCTGCCTCTCTGCCCACTCGTGATGTCTCTCTGTCAAATGAATAAATAAAATCTTAAAAAAAAAAAAAAAAAGTTCACATGTAAGTAGACCCATCCAGCTCAAACCCCTGCTGTTTAAGGGTCAACTGCAGTCGGTTTCTGCCATGACTACACTGATTGTGGCACTGTCAGCCTGAGACTAATGCCTCATGCTACTCTGCCAACCTCCCTGGAAATCTTCCACTGAAAAGGTAAAGTCCGTAGTCCCACCGAGAATCCAGGGAACGCTCATCTGCAGGATGAGCTAAGTGCAGGCCTTTGGCTGTATATTCTAGATAGCCAATTTCCAAAGAATTAAAATAGTATAAAATACATTTTCCACACCATTATGATAAATTCCATTTAAGCTTTATTTTCTAATTCACAAAGTGTACCTGGTCTTAAAATGTCTTGGGGTGATTATGAATATTAATTATCCTCTCATAACAAGCAATGTGTAGGGAGAAAGCAATCTGCAGCCATGAGCAGCCACCGCCTGTGGGAGATAGACCTGTTCCTAGGCCTGGGAGGAGCGCTGGCGTCCAGACTTCATGACCTTACACTTGGACTAAAATTACCTCCAGGGGCGCCTGAGTGGCTCAGTGGGTTAAAGCCTCTGCCTTTGGCTCAGGCCATAATCCTGGGGTCCTGGGATAGAGTGCTGCATCCGGGCTCTCTGCTCAGCAGGAAGCCTGCTTCCCTCCCTCTCTCTCTGCCTGCCTTTCTTTCTGCCTGCTTGTGATCTTTCTGTCAAAAAAAAAAAAAATAAAATCTTAAAAAAAAAAAAAAAAAAAAAAAAAGAAAGCCCACAGTGACAGCTGCCTCTTCACTGAGAGGGTATCGAGCCCAACTCTTCCCTAGGCCCATAATCCTCAGTCCCCAGCAGGCTCATTGACTCTTCTCTCGCCCTGCCCTGGCATAACGGCCTGCACCCGTCTGCCAGGCCTCTAGATGGTCCCTGACACAGGGAGACTATGAAGTCGGGGAATCTGGTAAAGGCTGGAGGTTACTTTAGTCCAAGTGCACTTCCTAGGTATTATCCTAATGGGACACAGAAGGCATACCATGGAAGGAAAACCAGTAGCATTCAGAGAGGGAATAAGGTGAACCCCTTAAAACTAGATGCTCTGCAAAACCCCCAAGGCCATGGCAAAGTATAGGAACCAGGAAGTCTTTTATGGCCTAAAGAAAACTTTTCCACTTAAGTAATTCAATGTTGTTATCATCTACAGGCCTATTTATAGCCTATAAAAACTCTATGTGGGGGGTCGCCTTGGTGGCTCTGTGGGTTAAGCCTCTGCCTTCGGCTCAGGTCATGATCTCAGGGTCCTGGGATCGTGCCCCGCATTGGGCTCTGTGCTCAGTGGGGAGCCTGCATCCCCCTCTCTCTCTGCCTGCCTCTCTGCCTACTTGTGATCTCTCTCTCTCTCTCTCTCTCTCTCTCTCTCTCTCTCTGTGTGTGTCAAATAAATAAATAAAATCTTAAAAAAAAAAAACAACTCTATGTGTTTTTTAAATTCCAGGCACAGTCTCACTTCAGTCTCAAGAGTATATGGCTTATAAATTTTAAAACTGGCTTATAAAATTTAAAAACTGGTTGAAGTTAGGAAACAAAGCAGTGTCCCACTGTTGATACAATGTTAGAAGTCCATTTCAGCTTACTGAATGAGTTACCTCAACCTAGTCTATGAAGTACCATAAAAATATATTTTTAAATAGCTCTATGGTTAAACAAGTTCAAGGCAGAGTTGCTGCGTATCAACCTTTCAGATACTTACTAAACACATTTTCACACAAAAGAAATAGAAGAAATTACTTTTCCCAACTTCAGAAATCTTTCCAAGTAAATCACTAAGAAACAACCTTCCTGCCTTTGCACTGCTGCTCAGGGGAGACACTTATAAGCAGCCATTGCCTCACGGACCCCCGCCTTTTGTGGAAGGATCTTCGACTGAATTCTTGTTCTCTTTTATGCATCATCAATATACGTGCCTGACAAACTGCAAGATCCACACTAAACCCAGAGAGCGAATTTCATTTTCCTTGTACTGCCTTGAATTTGCACACGCAGCTACTGAGCAACAATCCTGTTTCGACTTGTACATCAAGCACAGGGACAGATGAAGAACAAAGGGAAGTTAAAGAAGAGCAGTTCTCACCGAGCTTCCAGTACAGAGCTACACCCACGAGAACGCAGTATGAGCTCACCCTGGTCTCACAGCCAGCAACCCAGACAGGGGACGATGGACGCAGAGATTTCTTTTTTTCCAAAGATTTTATTTATTTGCGTGAGAGAGAGAGAGAGAGAGCACACACGCAATTGGAGTAAAGGGCAGGGGGAGAAGCAGACTCCCTACTGAGCAGGGAGCCAGATGCGGGAATGATCCCGGGTCTCCCGGGTCCTTGGGATCATGATCTGAGATCATGACCTGAGCGGAAGGAAGGTGGATGCTTAACGGATGGAGCCACCCAGGCGCCCCGAGAAGAGATTTCCAAAGAGCTCACCAGGGTTTAGTTTTCAAGGTGATTATGGTAATTTTAATTATTCAAAAGAAACCAAGCTCAGAGGCCTTGAGAGTAAGTCTTCAAGAAACCTCCCAGAGGGGCACCTGGGTGGCTCAGTGGGTTAAAGCCTCTGACTTTGGCTCGGGTCCTGATCTCAGGGTCCTGGGATCTAGCCCCGCATCAGGCTCCCTGCTCAGTGGGGAGCCTGCTTCCTCCCCTCTCTCCCTCTGCCTACTCGTGATCTCTGTCTGTCAAATAAATAAATAAAATTAAAAAAAAAAAAAAGAAGAACAAGAAGAAGAAGCCTCCCAGGAAGCCATTTCAAAGAAGAGCTTCAACTTGGATTTGCGGAGAACCACACCAGAGGACCCCACTGAAGCAGGCTAGTCCTTCTCTAAGAATTTACATCATTTTTAAAGGGACCTGAAGTCCACACCCAGCGGGTGGGTATCCCAGTGTGCGCAGGGATTCTGCGAACTCAAACAGCCATCTCTTAGAGCGCACTCTAAGCTGCCAGTCACCTTAACACACGCCAAAGAGATGAGCCACAGCCATGGAATACAGAAAATCGAAGTGTGACTTTGACTCATTTGGTTCCAAAATAATGAGTGAAGAATTAGCGGAATTTGCCTTCCTGGGGAAAAGGGGGTCCCTACCATGGAAATGGACATAGGAGTTCACATAAGAATTTTGAAGTCTAGACTCTGAAGCTGATCAACTCAAGTCATTAATGACCAACCTGGTGAATATGGAACAAATTAGCAGAAAGACAGAGTCAGGAACAGGGAAGATA